CCCCTCACCCCCAAGAGAAACCGTGCCGGCGTCGATCGCCCCCATCAGTCCCCCGCCCGACTCCCGAGTCGCGGTTCGGGCGTCGGAGAGCGATCGCAGCCTCCAGAGCTCAGGCCCACTCACAAAGGACGGACACACACAGTCAAGCAACCGCGACGGTCGCAATCGCCGCCATCTCGCAGTACCGCGGGTCCAGCGGCTCCCGATTACAACGCTGAAGTACCGGCTCGGGGCGCTCGCAGGCGCCAGGCGCGGGGGAGAGGGTCGTAGAATAAATATTTCGCAGCTTCTCGGACGGAGCCGTTTATTTCATAAACTCTATCGGTAGAAGGCGCGTTGGGGCGAACTTACAACTCCTCTCGTTCCCCCGTCTGCTTCCCGCTCCGCGGCAACCCCCGGAATATCGCAGTACAAAACTCCACCCGCACGGGAACATAAGATCGGGATGGCAAGCGCGCAAACGACGTACTAACTAAAACGGAAACATGAAATCACGATTGAACGTGAACCGCGAGAAAAAAAAACCTAATCTAAACGAGAACATAAAAAAAAATAATATCATGATTGACGCGAGCCTAAACTAAGGGCGATTATCCCAGCGGGAACGCCAAAAGGAAAAAAAAACTCTCAATCGAACGAAAACAACGAAAAAAAATTTTACAGGAGACGAAAGGTCTTGATCACCGCGGGGATAACAATACCGATCCCAACGGGGACCGAAAACCGCGATCGAACGCGAACACAAAGAAGTCCGGCACCAAACGACAACGCAAAGCCGGATCCTGATCGGCGCGAGAACAAAACTAACGACTATTATCACAACGCGAACGCAACGAAGGATCTGACTCGAACGACAAAAAAAATACAAAAAAAACGAAGAGAATCGCGATCAACGCGCAAACAGAAAAAAAAAGGCTGATCCGGGCCGGATCGAGACGCGCGGAAAAACGGAGGAACCCAAAAACAAAGAGAACGAAGGGCGCTAAACAAAAAAATAACGAGGCCGGACGTAGCTCCTCGGCGGCTTCCCGCCCCCGGCCGCTCGGCTCTCCTCCTGGTTCACGGCGGTGATCCCGCGGCGCTCCGCCTCAGTGACGGGAGTTGGCCTCCTCGCAGGGACGGTGTGGATCGTCCGCGGCCGCGACCCTCGACGCGCGGGCCCTCGGCCCGCCAGGCCTCCCTGCAGTTCGGGCAGTCTTTGAGGGTGGTGCCCCGACGCCCGCAGCGGAAGCAGAACCGCTGGGTGTTGCGGGGGCGCGGACACTCGCTGTAGTAGTGCCCGCGCGCCTCGCAATTCCAGCAGCCCGGGTAGGGGCTGTGGATCCACTGGGGGCTGTGCGCCCTCGCCATGGCGCTGGTCCCGCTTGCCCTCGGCAGGTCGGGCGATGCGGCCCGCTCGGGGCCCGGGCCAGGACGTGCCTCTTCCTCCGGCGCGGCCGTCGGCGCCGCTCGTTCGGCGCCCCGGGCCGGACGTGCCTCTTCCGCCGGCGCGTCCGTCTGTACGGCCCGCTCGGCGCCCCGCACCGGGCGTGCTTCTTCTGCCGGCCCGTCCGTTTGCACGGCCCGCTCGACCGTCGCGGGGCTGGCTTGCACCCCGACGTCCACGATGGGGCCCGCCGTCTGTGTGGCCCGACTCTGCCGTCCGCCGCTGCTCAGCCGGACTCGCCCGATCTCCTCCCGCAGTCGCCGCCAAAAGTCCGGGCGGCGCGCTGCGGCCTCCTCCAGCAGCTCCGCCGTCTCGCGTAGCGCTTGATCCGCCGACATGTCCGCCATCCGGACTCGCTAACGTGACGAACGATACCTACACGCAGATCAAGCCACATAGGGTTTCAAGTCTTTTACATGTATTTTCCCATGCGCTTTTCCCTCCGAGTCCACCACTTCGTATACCACGGGTGACAGTACCCTCGCAACGGTGAACGGCCCATGATACTTCGCGGCCAGTTTCGCTGCCACCGCATGCGCAGCGGACGACAATACATGCTGTCGCTTCAACACCCGATCACCAATCGCGAAGCGTCGATCCCGTCGACGCAGATTATAATAATGCGCCTGTCTCTGGTGCGCCGCATCTAAGTTTTCGATTACCCAGTCTCGCAAAGCCTGAACACGCTCCATGCGCTCTTTCCATCGCGCGGTATCGCCATCGTCTACCTCTAACTCGGGATCGTCTCCCTCCGCGCGCGCGTTGGCCGGGGCGGGTTCCCGTCCGAAATTCAAGAAGGCAGGCGTAGCCTGTAAGGAGGTGTGGAATGCGGTATTATACGCGAATCGAAATTCCGCCAAATGCACGTCCCACTCCCTGTGGTCGCGCTCGAGAAATGCCGTGATCATAGTTTTTACTACGCGATTTACTCGTTCGACGGGGTTCGCCTGAGGGTGATACGGCGGTACCGTCACGCGAGTGATGCCAAATTCCTCCGCGAGAGCTTTCAAATCTCGATTGACAAATTCGGTGCCGTTATCGGTTAGCAATACACGCGGCGTCCCCCAGCGATTTATTACCAAGTCCGCGATAGCCTCTCGAATCTTTTTGCCGTTTGCCTTACGGAGCGGACAACACTCGATCCATTTAGTGAAAAGATCCTGGATGACTAACAAATACACGAAGCCACTGCGTGAAGCGGGAAACGGACCCATAATATCCGCGGCTACAACCGACCACGGCGTGTTTACGGTACGCCGTCCCATCAAACCGGCCGGAACGTTCTGCTCGACTTTCGTCCGTTGGCAAACGTTGCAACGGCGCACGAAACTCGCGACGTCGCGAAACATACGCGGCCAGTAATACCTTGCCGCAACGCGCCGATACGTCTTTTCGACTCCTCCATGTCCGGCTTGAGGCGGATCATGGTTATTTCGAATTACCTCGAGACGCGATTCCTGCGGAAGCACCAATTTCCACGCTTCGAGATCGTCCACGACCTGCGATACGACCGGGTTCGGTTTCCGAAAATAGAGCGAGTCTTCCTCGACCTTCCATCCCGGGTATTTACGCGGCTCGCTTTCGATACTTCGTACACGCGCATCGTACCATGCGTCTCCCGTGATCGCGACGGCGCACAATTCCTCGGTGGTGTCGTATAATTCCTCGGCGGATTCGTACATCCGCGATAGCGCATCGGGAACATGATGTAATGCCCCCTTACGGTGCTCGATCTCGTAATCGTATTCTAGTAACTCGAGGGCCCACCTCGCTAATCGTCCCGTCGGATTTTTCAAATTATGCAGCCACCGTAAGCTGCTGTGATCCGTAATCACTTGGAATTTATAGCCCTCAAGATACGGCCTAAATTTTCGAATCGCCCATACAACCGCGAGGCACTCTTGCTCGGTAGTCGAGTACTTCTTTTCTGCTTCCGATAACGCACGACTCGCGAAGGCAATAACGTGTTCTACGCCCTCCGATTCCTGGGTTAATACGGCGCCCAGCCCGACCGAACTCGCGTCCGTCTGAAGCGTAAACGGTAGTTCGAACTTCGGGCACGATAACGTGGGCGGTTCCGTAATGCAGGATTTAATGGCTTCGAACGCCGATTTTTGGTCACCCCCCCACTCCCAAGAGTAGTTCTTTCGGAGGAGACGCGTAAGCGGCTCTAATTTCGTAGCACACTGCGGTATAAATCGGCGGTACCAAGACGCCATTCCGATAAAGCGTCTCAGCTGTTTAATATTTCGGGGTGGCGGATATTCGAGAATCGGCGCGGTCTTATCAGGATCGACTCTCAAGCCTTCGTGCTGTACCAAAAATCCCAGGTACTTTACTTGCGATCGGCAAAATTTACTCTTTTCGGGATTGATCGTAAGACCGGCGTCCCTTATTCTGTCTAACACGCGTTTGAGCCACACGAGGTGCTCATCGAACGAACGGGTGACGATAACAATATCGTCTAAATAGGCGAACGCGTGAGGCTCCATTTCCGGTCCGATTAGGCGATCAAGCAAACGCTGAAACGTCGCGGGCGCTCCGGTGAGTCCGTACGGCATTCTCTTAAAATGAAATAATCCCTTACCGGGAACCGTGAAAGCTGTTAATTCGCGACTACTCTTTTCCAGCGGTATCTGGAAATATGCCTGACTTAAATCGATGGTCGATATGTACCGGGCGGCCCGTAATTTATCTAAGATCGCGTTCATGTACGGTAGCGGGTACGCGTCTTTTTTCGATACGCTATTCAGCCTGCGGAAGTCGAGGCAAAACCGATAAGTGCCATTCGACTTTTTAATCATAACTATTGGCGTGGACCATTCACTTTCGAGGGCTCAATCACGTCAGCTTCTAACATTTTATCGACCTCCGCGTAGATCGTTTCCTGGATTTTCGGCGACACCGGGTAATAGCGCTGTTTGATCGGCGCGTGCCCCCCGACGTCGATTTTATGCTCGGTCAGCGACGTAACCCCGGGCTTGCCCGTGTCCCCCCCAATTTCCGACGCGAGAAACTCCGCTAACCGCTGTTCCTCCGTGGCCGACATTTCCACCAGGCCACAACAAAGCGATGGATTTTTGCGCGGGCGCCTGGTCCGCGCGCGTTTCGGTAGCGCGACGGTATCGGAGAGCGCGGCTTGCGACGGGCTCCCCCTGTCCCGCAGGGCCGGCTCCGCCTCGGCGGGTGCCCCCACCGGTTCGGCCGGCGCTCCTTCCGCGGCGCTCACGCGGAGCGCTTGGCCGTCGCCTCCCCCGTCGAACGCGTACTCTATAGTCGGGGCGTCTTTAAAACACCACCGTTGTGTCGCGAAATCTACTCCGATCCCGAAAAGCGAGAGAGCATCGATCCCGATTATACACGGCAACGCGAGAGTCGGCAACGCGCACACTCGCAAAGGTTTCGTTCGGTGGCGTATCGTAAACGGGATCTCGATCTCTCCCCGAATTCGCGTGGTTTGCCCCGTGGCGGTGGTCACTCGTCGCCCGTCGGCGCTTTCAAAATTCATCCGGAATTCTCTCACGATCTCTATCGCGGCAGGTCCCAAAAACGTACGGCTTGAACCGGAATCTAACAAGGCGGGGATTTCTCGACCCGCAACTTTAACATTAATATACAACAAGGATGACGCGTCACGACAAAAAGCACTATACGACAATTCACGGATACACGGAACAATACGGAGGGGTTTTGAATCGGGGGACAGGAGTCGGGTCCCCCTCGCTAATCGACTCCCCTACTCTTTTCCCGAGCAGTCGGGACACGACCGCAATGTAACTTCGGCACGACCGCATCGGTAGCAATGCATTCTCGGCGCGGCTTCACAGTCCCGCGAAAGGTGCCCTACGCCGTCACAATTCCAGCACTTGGCTGTTGACACGCGCGAAACGCGTGCTCCCGCGCCCGTGGCCTTCGTTGGCGTAGACGTAGACGCGGCCGCGACCGCGTCGGTCGAATCTTCCGCGGCCCGCCCCCTGCGTTTCCTCTCTTTGCGCGAGCCCGCTCCCGAATCTGCGGAGCTCGCGGACGAGGTATTTAGCGCGGCTACCGCATCCGCTCTCGGTGCGTGTCGGTTCTGACCACGCGGCGCCCGGTAGGCCAAATCTGGAAACAGCGACTTCTCCGGCGTCGGCGGGGCACGATAACGGAGGGCCATCTGATGGCTCCCCTCCACGCGTGCCGCTACGTATTCTAACGCCTCGAGGTCCTCCACCTCGTCCCGACGCACGGCAATTTGCAGACGCGGCAACATGTTTCGAAACGCGTAGCTCACCTGTTCCGCCTCACTCCAGGGCGGCGACAGTCGGTCGAACATAGCCCTCAAACACGTCAGGTAATCCGCTACGGATTCCTGCTCCCCCTGCGTACGTCGCATGATCTCGTCGCGGAGCGCGAACTGAAAATCGGGGTCTCCGAAGCGGGTACGCCACGCGTCGGTAAACGCGTGCCACGTCGTCAGTCGGTCGCGCCTTCCCCGAAACCAGTGCAACGCGATTCCGGTCAAAAAGAACGGCAAACAGCGGAGTATATCTTCGTCGGACACCGGCACCAAATCGCGACCTTCCTCGATACGTAGCAGGAAGGTTTCGGCGTCCTCCCCGCGCGCTCCCGAGAACTTCAAGTTCCATTTCCGCATGACGTTGTACGCGGTCATCGCGGAATTCCCCGTGTTATCGCGGGACGCGGTAAATCCGGGCGAGCGCGGTACGCCGGGCGAACGCGCCACCCCGGGCGAGCGCTGCCCTCCGGGCGAGCGCGTCACCCCGGGCGGAGGCGGCGTGCCCCCTATGCGCGAGGACGTCCGCGGGTACGGAAGTCCCGATGGACTATCCGGGCGGAGATCGGCTGCCGGCGGCGGCAGCCGGTCATCCCCGTCCGCCATGCCTCCGCTCGCGAGGGCCGCTTGAAATTCGCGGCGGTTCTCTTGCTCGTCGCGCAGCAAGCGTGCGGTCAAGACGGAGTAGCTCCCGTCGAGCGAAAGCCTCCGTCGGCCCAATTCCTCGCGTAGTTGGTCGTTATCCAACGCGAAGATCCACTCGTCCGCGGGATCGACTCGACTCATTTGGCCCGCTCCGACCTTCCGCGAAAGAATCAAACACGCGCGACCAGATTCTAACGGCGGAAACTTGACGGCAGTTCAGCCGTATTCGCGCAAGACACAAATACCGAACGGACAAGAAAAAGAAACAAACACCGCGACGCAAACACGAAGACGTGACCGCGGACTAACAAACGAAACGCACACTCAATACGCGCGAGTAATATCACACGATTCGCAACGACCAAATTCAAAAATTCACGGAGGCTCCGATAATTTCACGGAACACTCCAATTTCCGTGCCTCCGG